GCTACTAATGAAAAAAACATTTGAGAAGCTTGGACGAGAGAATGTTTGGTATTTTAGTTTGAATAATTACCAAACAATCAATTTATAATACATATTGTATTATAATACACCCTTTGGCATATATCCCAGTTAAGACTAATAATCAGTTAACAAGGAAATATTCAGCAGATTGAATAATAAATATTATTTCGAACCGAGATATGACGGATTATTGTCTTCGAGGACGAGGCACTTAAATCCAATTTCAACAGGAGTTTGAGCCACTAAAACAACCGGAGCGAGGCGCCGCCGCTTGACAGCGAGCACAACGTCGAACATCTGTCACAGCAGTACAAGGAATACCGCGTGCGACGAGACGCCATCGGGACGGCGAGCCCGAGAAGGAACATGTTAACATTTTTCAGAAAGGCTTTCCACCTTCCCAAAACAAACTGCTCGCCAGCACTAAAAATCCTCCAAAACCGTCAACTAAAATGGATGTTTTCTGCTGTGTTCCCCTGAGGCAACTCATTTTAAAAAATGTGAATGTTAGTGTTTATTTATTGACTTAATGTACTTTGTGTTTATATAATTATGACAAACATTTCCATTCTTCCACAGTGTTTTATTATACATGCACCTCGCCTGAATTAAACAGCACCTCCTTGCAGTTTTGAAATATAATATTGTGCTTTTTAGGCTGCAGGGCCAAACTATTTAATGATTGATGATTGAACAATTGCACTACTTAATCAGAGCTTATCCAGGCTGAATATAGCTTGAATTTTCCTGCTGTATTCCCCTGTTGGATTAGCAGCGATCACATGGTGCATCTTAAACAAAAGTACTTTTGTCAAACAAATTGCATACAAGCAAATGTAGGAATAATGTTGTATTCTCAGTAAGTATTGATGAATAAGATACGTTTGTAATGATGTCTACACAGGACTTTAGTACTTGAAATTATTATTCGATTTTGAACCGGGTCGGCCTCTGACTTACTCATCCAAACTTTCATTGTCAGCCAATTAATCCTGTGAATATCGCAAAGTGTCCCGTGCATCATAACCGGCTTGTTTGTGCTCGGATTCTATGGCACCAATGCTAAGTGGAATCTACAGGTCAGACACAGCGTTGCTTCGCCTAAAACACCCGCTCACTCTGTGGCTATTGGCTCCGTCCTGTCCGTCAACACACCGCCCTGCTCTCCGTCCAGCCTCCCCTCCAGTGTTCTTATCTGTCAGGAAGTGACGGTGTAGTTCACAGACACTCACTCGCACTCACATCCCGTCGGCACCTGCAGGCCAGAAAAACCATTGGCTCTAATCTTGTATCTCTCAGCTGTTGCCACGGTGAGTAGGTTTCCAGCACCAACCAAGAGCTTTATCTCTGACCTGCAGGGAGAAACCTGGGAGACCCCATCTCATGTGCACACAAACACGCCGCACACCTGCACTCAAATCGCATGCAAAAGTACACCACACATTCTCTCATACACACACACACACACACACACACAGTCAGGTTCTTGTGTGGTGTTTTTTTCTGGCACAAGCAGATGTAGCTGTGAAAATGTGTAAACATGCAGGTATACACTATTATCTTTAAATACATCCAAACTAATGTGTTGAGCAGTGTCAGACCTGCATAATCCATCCGTCTCTCTCTCACACACACATACACACACACACACACACACACACACACACACACACACACACACACACACACGTAAGCAGAAATGGTTAAGATGACAAGTAGTTCAAGCTATCTTCAAGACTGAGATAGGACCAGAATATTCTTTATCACTTGACGGCACAGCGCTTCATTTTAGAGACTTTTTTTTATAGTGTGGCCTGAAAGGTTTATCAGAAGACTCCGCTGCTGTCGTGCACTCCACTGAAATAAGGACGACGTCACAAAAATACAGAGAACTTACTAAACATGTCCAGTTTTTAAATCTTTTTCTAGTAAATTTCAGCTCTGTGCAGGAAAAAAATGGCTTTTAATGACAAACGCGATAAACACGACGGTGACTTTAAAGTGCCAAAATGGAAATGAGGAATAAAACTTTTGCGAATGAAAATGCAGCTCAGTAGAGCAAATTTGCATTTAATCAATGTGGAAAAAGGTTTTAATGCAAAGTTAGTTGCAGAGACGTTGTGTGTCCACACACACACACACACACACACACACACACACACACACACACACACACACACACACACACACACACACACACCAAGAACTCATCACTCCAAAGACATTTCATTGAGCGATCCATCTTAATCAGCTGGCCCATCAGAGACAATATATCCTCCCCTCCATCTCCCTCTCCTTCTCTGGACGGAGTGATTGAGGGGTGTAAAGAGGAGGATGTTTCTGCCCCCCCCACCCCCCACTCCTCCCCCTCCACAATGCCCCCCCTCCTCACCAGGACGGCTCTTAAGTGCTTGTGGGTTTTTATGTTTGTAGTGTTTTATAGGAGTGGGCAGTAGCCAGGGGCTGTAAAAGTGTGGAAGGAGGGAGGGGCGGGGGGTGGGGTCGTAGGAAGGGGAGGAGAAGAGGAGGGGAAGGGGGAGGAGTGGAGAGTTACTGTAAATCCGATCTTTATTGAGAGCGACACAAACGACAAACAGCGGCCGACCAGCCTCCCTCCTCTCGACCTGATCCATCAGTGTTGACGCAAGGAAGGAAGGAAGGAAGGAAGGAAGCAGCACATTACTTTTACGTTTTCCACCTGTTCATCCTCCGAGGCTGTCGCCATCTACGTCGGCGTAGACGTAGAGACACGCCTACCAGTCTGCTAGTAGGGCGTTTGATTGGCTCCAGTTGGACCCAAATTGAATGTTTGCTGCTTTTTGATTTTTTGCGATCTCCCATAGCAGCGAGACAAAAAAAAACACACAACACTCCCCTCCACATGTCAGAAACCACAGGCGCCAATTTCGCCGCTTCTGCTTCGCTGTGAGATATGCAACAAGAAAAAAAGCTTTCAAGCAATTTTGCAAATCGACGCTACTAACTTTCTCCTTTCTGATTGTTCTCTTTTTCCTCGATGTCGGTTTGCTTCTCTCTTTAATTCGGATGCCTTTTCTTTTAAAGAGCGACTTACATCGCCGAAAGCCTCTTAGTCGCTCCGTTAGTCACCGACTGGAAAGGTCACCGCCTAAGTCGACACGATGACTACAGAGACAGTCAGCTGGGCAGCGGGTCGGTCACACAGAAGAGGATGAACGGACTGCTGACCGAAAGTCCCCGTTGCGTGGACCGTGTACCTGCTTGTTGCCATGGCAATGCAGATTTATGTACCAGCCCGTGTCCCCTCCATGCCTCTCTCTTATCTTGCTCTTTTCACTCCTCCAGACTCTCCCCTCGCTTGTTGTGAGTCAGTGTGTCCCCGTCCCACTCCGTCATGTTTCATCTGCCGCTGTTGTGTTTTTTCAGTCTCCCTCCCTCCCTCCCTCCCTCCTTCCATCCTTCCCTCCCTCCCTTCTTCACCTTGCCTCGTCCTCTCTGCTAAACGACACTTTACTAGCCGTTTCCTCTAGTTAATTCTGTGCTACTTTGCATCGTGCGACTCTGTGAAAAGCTCTCGTAAAACACACAGTCGCCACTACGGACACACAAGAGACAAATTACAACACTCAGTGTGTACACACACACACACACACACACACACACATAATTACGTAAACATTCACAGGCAGATGCTTGAAAACTCAAACACACACAAACAGCGATGCCACATATGAGAGTGAAACATCCTCATATCCAGCGGATGCTGGCACAGCGCACACCTGCTGACATCAGTTGCCATTAAAGATCTGTCATTATCTGCTAAAGGCTGATCATCAAGCATCGTTTAGGCGTGCTGGCCTGCCTCAATCTCCACCAATGCACCATCTGTGCCAACACGCCACTTCAATTTCCCCCAAATCCACAAACAGCCATGTGGGAAAAGGACTTCAGTGAATGAGCTGGGGCTCGGCTCCATCTAGTGGTCACTGCAAAAACGCTCTTATCCCAACTGGTTGGCACCGGGAGCGTCTTACTGACCAAATAGCCAACTTAATAAATGTGAACATGTGACTTGTTTAATCAAACCGAGTTAGGTCAGACTACTACAGTAGATCTCCTGATATTAATTAATCATTAATACTGGAGCTGGTACTGGCTGTTTATTGTGATTCAATGTAATTAATGATACAACTGGGTAATCTACAGAGCTTTCTGAATAATTACAGCTTAGTATTGATAGATATTTTCCCTAAAGAAAAGTCATTTTTTTCACAATTCATTATCAAAAAAGACATTCCAAAAACAATAGTTGCAATAACATAAAATTCCTAAAATGAGAATTGTAAACAGCTCTTGATGTGTTACCCAAACAAAACCATTGTTGATCGTAACAACCAGCAGCTGATTTGAACTGGCCTTTAGAAGTCACTCGTGGTTACGTCTGGTTATTCCACACAGCTTCTTCTCAAAGCAGCGTATCCCTGATCTGTTGAGTACTGAGACTTCACATGAAAGCCACCTCTGCTTGCAGCTAACTTTTCCTACTTTTGAACTTTCCGGGGAGCCAGTCAGCAATCCTTCTGATTCTAAACCCTCGCAGTGTTCTTGGATACTTGTGTACTCACTACTTCAAAGAAAGCTGCACCCTGCAAACCTGTTGGTAAACACATGAAAGCCTGTGGCGCTCCCTCCCACACAGATGAAACATCAAAACCGTAACGAGCACCAACCACCCGCACACTTCTTTTGTGCTAAATTTATTTACAACACATTAGCATCGATGCAGCAGCAGGGCCGCTGTGTTCACTTTAGCACCCACTAGTTTAGCCCGTGGTCATATTTCCCCACTGGTTGACCGTCTTCTTCACACGGGTGGGTTTCTTTTTCCCCCCCTGCTGTATACACTCTTTCTGTTACATGTGAATATAGCTTGTTGGTGACTATGCTACATGACTGATCCAAACACGGATCACCCGACTCCTTCACACCCTCACGCGTACCTGCATTGACAATAGCATCCACCTCCAACTTGGTGATGTCACCACTGTAGAGGGAGATCTTCTGGTCCAACTTTTCATTCCTCGGGTAGAGAGTTTGTTCAGAGGCGCCTAGCGATGAGACACACACACACATCCAGTCTCAGGATCGGTTGTGTTTACCTCGTCGACTTGACTAAGGGATATGTCTCGTGGTTTGCTCTTATACCGTGCGTACCATACCAATTGTTATAACTTTTTATTAACCAAACACTTGTTATGGGTATAAGAGGACACGATGGACAATAATACTTTTATAGTGTAAAAAGCCCACTGTTTTCAGTGCATTTCTCGGGTAATACGGGGACTTAACAGGTTGGAAGGAGAGGGACACGAAAAAGACATTTGGAAACACTTTAGTTGGAAGAAATTACAATATGTGGATGATAATATGTGGTAATCTTATGATGATGTAACAGTACATCTAATGTTAGTATGTTTATTTTCTGCTTGTTTGCTCAATCAAAATTAAACTAACGCACAATAAACCGGTTAAGCTTACGTTACAAATCAATATACTACATTTTGCATGCAAGCTGTTTCCGGCTCTGTTTAATAAAGCTCATAACTTTGGCTAAACATTCTAGAGTCAAAGTCTTTCTGTGTTGCTGCATCTCTGTGGTGAAGTCCCAGCGGCGCTACCACCCAAATGAACCTGACAGTGACATTGACTGACGGTGGGCGTCTGACCTGCAGGAGGAGTCCACAGCGAGACGTCTTTCAGTGGCACGAAGTCAGACGTCCTGTAGTGCTGACGCCTGTCCATCACAGACAGGGACAACAAGTACTCTGACAGAGACGATGGAGAAAGAGGACAGAAAGTAAATGTGGTAGCCAGATGAAGAAAAATCTATTTTTATATGTATTCATTCTAAGGAACAGAGAAACGTGGTACTTTTGGCACATCCGAATAAAGAAAGACAAAATAACTTGGACATTCACTGAATGAAAAGTTTAATTTCTGTATAACTTTGCAATGAGACTACAGTACACTGAGGGTACTAAATGGTCTGTGCAGCTTTATAATTAAAAGGTATTGTATACAGCAGCCCACATGTACATATATAGTGCGTGCAGGGACGGAATTTTGATTTCAGAAGTGGGGGGGGGACACAAGTATTTCCAATAAAACTAACTTTTTCAGTTGACTGTGTTTTCTAGTAGTTCTTCTAGTTTTCTATTGCTACTTTTAAGTTTGCTGTTCCCTTTTTGGTTTGACTGGTTGTAAAGCATGTAGCAAAACATTATCACCCAATTCTGTGTTTCACCTTGTTACGTTTACCTATTTATGAGCAATAAAACTCAGACACTTTACAAGTCTGTTGGTGAGGACATGCAGCCAGCAGCCAGCTGCTGGGTGTTGCAGGATGGGTGTAACGCATTTCTTTGGTAACATACACTTGGACTTCTAAAGAAGTCTCTTATTTCCACTTTTCTTTTTTTAGACATCCCGGCTACGCCGAATGCAAACACACACACACACACACCGATTCTAACGTTATTATCGAGGCTTATGACTTTATTATTACCTTCAAGGCTAGGAGCTTGTGTGTGGGAGAAAAAAAACGTTGGCTGAGTGCATGTAGGATTACTTTCATGTCACATATGTTTGGACTCGATGCTTTGCTGAGATACTTGGTAAGCTTTAAGAGCAAACAGGGTCACCAGTTTGTAGTAGTCTTGTGTTCAGTGAGGTAAGTTGGTCTATAATCGATCAACAGTTGACCACGTGTTTAGTTTGTGACAATGAACACCGTAAAGTCACATTTGAACCGTCTCACCCTTGGTTTTCCTCCAGTCTCCGTCAGCGGAGTTCAGGTCAACCTTGCGGGCCGTCGCGGTAACTTTTCCGGCGTGAAGAGACCGCACAAGCGCGACCGTGCTGGCTCCGAGGACGGCGGCGGCCCCGAAGGCTACTCTGCCCGGCCAGCCTCTCCTCCCCGGGGAGAGGGCAGGGGGACCACCGTCACCGGGGCTGGACCGCTCCGCTCGGAGGGCAGCCTTAACATGCCCGCGGACGGGACCTGTCGCGGGCCTCGCTCCCAGCTGGAGGCTTCCGGGAGTTAAACCGTGTTTGAACCGGTCACAGCGGTCCGCACGGACCCGAGACAGCGCGGCTCTGACGTGGGAAAAGAGAGACGACATTCGTAGCGCCATGTCGGAATTACGCTCGGAGGGGGGGGGTCGCGTTTTCGTGGTACTAAAGCCTCTCGGGGGGGGTCAGTGTCAGTAAAACGCGTGGGTTCGATTTCGTTTTCGCTACGAACACCGCGCGCTAATGATGAACGTTTGTTGGCTCACGTGCCATTTTTGTGTTTGAACCTTCACGTGCGGAATGTACCATTTACGAGGGGTGCCCGGAAGCGATACACGTGTGCCAATGAATAGATACACGCGCAAATAAGCATTAGTGAGCAGCCTAGTGACGATAAATAGGGATTAATATTCATTCCAGTGAAAAGGCTGTGCTCCAATTTGACCAGCGTTGCTTTATTTTTAAATCAGAGACCTGGTATAAACCCGGACTCTGACAACATGGGAAAGACGAACACCACAAGCCGAAGTCTACTTCAAGACTGCTGGAAATAGTGGAACTATAAGATGAAGGCAAGATCTATGATATAGTTTGTTAAAACCCTCTCTAAGTAAAACGAACATTGAAACACCATGTTACAGCTAAGTTAGGAGTAGAATGACCCCCCCCCCAAACGAAGCAGTGAGCCAATCATTTGTGGTGACATCAATATGTTCTCTACTTTGCATCTTACACCTCGACTCAAACTGATGGAACATTTTTGGATACACCACTTATTGCTGATTTTGCAACACACAATATTATTATTCCATAGTCTGTGTTCATGCAATTTTCAGATGAAGAAAGATAAAGAAACTGTGTGGGTGTGAGAATTTGTGTGTGTGTGGTTTCTATTACTTACACCACCTGTCACTCAAAGGCCCTTTTCTCATTTCCGCCTGACGGAAACTGACAAAAAAAAGGAACAAGCCTTTTGACAGAAGTGACACTAGCGGCTCGAGCACAGCTACAGAGAACCCAAGCTGCCCAGCTGGAGAGAGGAGAAACTGCTCCATTTTTCATTGAAAACCAGGGTAACGTCTTCGGAGATCTGACAGAGGCACAGCGGTCCACCAAGTTTCCATCTCTCAAACCCTGACGGTATTGTCTTTTGAAGTTTGTGTGTGTTTGTGTGTGATAGGAGGGAAGCGAGAGCAAGGCCACGGGGAGAGAGAGCGTTGAGGCAACATGTGTATGTGTGACACTTTTTACTGGGTCACACCACACAAAAAATAGATTGTAAGAAGTGAAATGATCACAGATCAGCACTGAGATTCAGCTAGTTTAGGCCTCCCACAAAGGTAACGCCGTGTTCAGACATTGTTATTGCATTGTCTGTAATACAAGTCTTTGCAAATAGAGACACATTGGGCAGAGACACATGCCAATCCCTGAACTCTGGCTCACATTTTCACACACATGCAGTGCGTCGGCATTGGATGAGCATCTTCTTTGGGGCGGGTCAGAAAAGCGGAAGTGTGTTTCACTGACGATAGTTCAATTTAGAAACAGGAAGTGCTCATCAAACTGGACGTATTACCAGAATCATCTTACCCATTCAAAGTGTGTGTCTCCGTGTTACTCAGTATCATGTGATAATGAACCACGAGTTAAAGTTTTGTTGTTTTCTCACAGTTGATGGCTGAACTATGATAATTTATAGTCTCCCGTTTTGTATCTGAAAAATTCTGTTACATAGCATGATTTGTATTGTCAAAACCTCTTTCACCTATTTTGAGAGTGTATTGCAGTTGCAGTACGATTCTGTAATTTTCACTGCAGGCTTGTTAATGCAGAAGGCATTGATATGTATTTCTGTGATAGTCTTTCTTATCTTAGGCATGGGATGTTATACTGAAATGTGATGGTCTCATTTTAGAAATAGTTCGAGCAGGCTATTTGATTTCTAAATTGGGACATAAACAACCCTATAATACTAATCTCTATGCACAATTATTGAGTTTATTATAATACACCTCAATATTTGTCACCACTGTGTTCTAAAAAACAAATGAAAGAGTAAGCTCACTGATTAATTATAAGTCTCGTTCATCTTCTTCTTTTCCATCACTGGTTTGCCTGAGCGTCAAACAAAAAGTTTGTCACACCTAATACATAATTTAAAGAGCATTTGTTAAGCAGCAATTTACTATGTTACTAATCTAACTTCTTTGTCTTTATCCCATGTTTGGCTTTGCTACTTTCTTTTCCCGTATGTCAGACATTCTTCAATCAGTATGGCGTCGTGGGACCTTGCAGTCACAGTGGAGGACCTCGGGTCGGACGCGCCGGCTGTCACTCTCAGCGTGGCCTCTGATCTTCACGTCGGAGGGGTCATCCTGAAGCTGGTGGAGAAGACACGTGGGTCACTGTCTGTTTCTCTCACTCTCACACACAGACTAAATATACTTCCACAATTAGTTTTTCAGAAACAGTGTATAGGTAACACTTTAACATGACTTCTTGAATAAATTAAATAATTATTACAACAAACAAGTAACACAGTTGTGTTAGAAAAAGGCAAAGTTACCGTGGTTACTTCTGTTGTGGTTATCGTAGACCCCTATGAAATTAATTTAATTCATCATTCTCTCTATACTGGAAGTGATTGATTTGGTTGTCATGTTCCTTATTGTTGTTGATGTTATGATTAAATTAAGAAAATTACTCAAAAATGTTTTATTGCACAATAGCGCAGTCGCCATCTAAGTGAGCAGCCTTCATTTTGTCTGGTCTACTTTACAGTCTGTACGAGCAGAGTATTATCTGCTCGTGCTTCTCGCTTGTGTTTGTGTGTGTGTGTGGAGTTGGAGGAGCTCAGCACTACAGAGTGTGAGATGGAGGACTACATGGAGGACAACCTGTCCACTACATAGATACAAATGGCTTTTTCTAAGCTAATTAAAGTAATTAAATTCTTAAGTTTCTGCTTATTGTACACTTTCACTGATTGAAATATAGCTTTGAATATTTGAATCCATTACTGCCAGTTAATCCTGTTAAATCTTAGAGCTAATCTTTTCAATATTGGCCTTGATGGGTTTTAAACACACAATTATCTGATATAATCTCACAATGTGCAAGGGTGGTCCCTCACAACAGCAGCAGGAGCAGGTAAATTATGGACAGTTATTTAAGTTGGTTAGTTCACTTTCAATTACAATTTTCTGTGGTTCAGAGACCACATTGGACTTCTTGGTGTTAGATAGATATTATCAAAGGGAAGAAGACAACCACAGATCATTCCGCAAAAATCTAAACTCAAGAGAGTTTTGAGTTTCCGTCTTTTCAGTTTATTATCTGTTCTGTGTGTCTCTTTAGAGATAAAACGGGACTGGTCCGACCATGCAATATGGTGGGAGCAGAAGCAGCAGTGGCTTCTGCGAACTGCCTGGACTCTGGAGAAATATGGCATCCACGCAGACGCCCGGCTGCTGTTTATGCCCCAACATAAGCCCCTAAAACTGGGTCTGCCCAATGGGAAAACACTGAGGCTCAAAGCCTGCTTCTCAAGGCCTGTCTTCCAGACAGTGATGGGTATCTGCAAAATTCTGGGTGAGACAAGGCTTCTTTACCTTATCTTTCTGCTTTCCTTCTTCCATTTATTGATTGGTTTCGCATGAATGCATTGCCTCTTTTGGCTATTTCTTGATTCAACCCCACATGTTTTCTTCTGTCAATACATTGTTTTGTTTTCTCACACCTTGCTTTACATTCTTTGTTCTATTATTTGTTTCCAATATTTCTTGGTATTCATTTTATCTTGATTATGTGATTTGAACACACACACTTTGGATCTAGAGGCAGAAAAACCACCGTTGGGCTAGACAATCTTAATTAACATTCTACTGAACTGGTGAAGAACGCAGGACTACAATAATAAATACTAAATCAAATTGCAAAAAATAAAATCGCATGTAATTCAATGGCTAGACTTTGACCAACCACACCTCGTTCCACACACAGCTCAACTGTGAACACACAGGTGGATTGATTAATTTGAGTGTTAACAGTCAAAATCCACCTGATCTGCAGGACTACGATAACCTCTATTACAAAATTCCATATCACTCAAGGAATTCGATGACTAACGACACCTTGTTTCAAACTCATGTTATCGGCTTGATTGTTAACAACAACCCGGATGTAATGCGAACACGCATCCTTCTGATCTGGAGTCAGAAGTCTGAGAAAACAGTGATCCAAACAAGTGAAAGATGCGGGGCTGTGATAATCACTATTACAAAATTGCAAGGAAAGCGATAGCTGGATTTTGACCAACGACACTTCATTTCACACACCTTGGCGATTGACTTCATTATGACCCTGACATGATTTGAACACACAGCCTTCTGATCTGGAGTCAGACGCGCTACCGTTGCGCCACAGAGTCTGAGAAGCCTGTTATCCAAACAAGGCAAAGATGCGGGGCTGTGATAATCACTATTACAAAATTGCAAGAAGAGCGATAGCTGGATTTTGACCAACGACACCTCATTTTACACAGCTTGGCGATTGACTTCATTATGACCCTGACGTGATTTGAACACGCAGCCTTCTGATCTGGAGTCAGACGCGCTACCGTTGCGCCACAGAGTCTGAGAAGACCCTGGTCCAAACAAGTGAAATATGTGGGGCGGTGATAATCACTATTACAAAAGTGCAAGAAAAGCGATAGCTGGATTTTGACCAACGACACCTCGTTTCACACAGCTTGGCTATTAACTTCATTATGACCCTGACGTGATTTGAACACACAGCCTTCTGATCTGGAGTCAGACGCGCTACCGTTGCGCCACAGAGTCTGAGAAGTCCGTCATCCAAACAAGGCAAAGATGCGGGGCTGTGATAATCACTATTACAAAATTGCAAGAAGAGCGATAGCTGGATTTTGACCAACGACACCTCATTTTACACAGCTTGGCGATTGACTTCATTATGACCCTGACGTGATTTGAACACGCAGCCTTCTGATCTGGAGTCAGACGCGCTACCGTTGCGCCACAGAGTCTGAGAAGTCCGTCATCCAAACAAGGCAAAGATGCGGGGCTGTGATAATCACTATTACAAAATTGCAAGAAGAGCGATAGCTGGATTTTGATCAACGACACCCCGTTTCACACAGCTTGGCGATTGACTTCATTATGACCCTGACGTGATTTGAACACGCAGCCTTCTGATCTGGAGTCAGACGCGCTACCGTTGCGCCACAGAGTCTGAGAAGACCT